TCAACTCCCTTCTACGGGATTTAGGGATCCCGCGCCCCGAAAACCGACCCAGATGCAGAGGGGTAAGTTCGGAACCCCTCAGCCTCGAACCCGATTTAGGGTTTAGAGCTTATAGGGTTTAGGGTTTAGGGTTTAGGGTTTAGGGTTTAGGGTTTAGGGCTTGGGGCTTCCTCAAGAACCCAACGGTCTGGGAGCAACTTGTAGGATTCTGTTTGCAACCGACAAAGAGGCCCTGAAGAAGCCGTCGCCTGGGCGGTCTCCCCCTCAGTGCGGTACTTGCAGGAGACCTGGCGCGCACTGGGCTTTCGGAAGAGCGCCGTGAGGTGTTCAGGCTTAAACCCTAAACCCTAAACCCTAATAAGCCCTAAACCCTAAACCCTAAACCCTAGACCCTACACCCTAAACCCTAACCCGAAACCCTAACCAAGGGGTTTTGGGGGTTCAGGGTTCAGTGGTCCAGGCATGACCCCAGACACACACAGAAACCTCTAGGACCTGTGACTTAGGGGCCCAAAAACCACATGAGCATAAGGATCCTACGCTTGGGGTAGAAGGGTTTAGGGTTCAGGGTTTAGGGGTAACCATGGTTTGTAGGATCCATAAGGGGCTTTACGAAAATAGGGCACCCCCAAAAAAGCCCCCGCACAGTAGGATTTCCGAAGGACCCCAATAAGGGACCCCTAATTTCAGAAACCCTATGTGTTTATGTGGTTTTTTTGGGCCCTCAATGACAAGTGGCAGGTGAGGTTTCCCTTTCTTGGTGCCACAGAATGGGGTCCTCATCTAGGGGGAACAGACCTTCTGAAAAGTTGCGATCTTGGTAGGGTTTCCCTAAACCCTAAACCCGAAATAATCCAAAACCCTAAACCCTACAACCCCACTCGCCCACCTGCCCGGAAGCGCCCTCCATCCTCTTGACAAGGATCTCCACCTGGGGCATTGGTGCTCAACCTAAACGCTAAACCCTTAGACCACGAAACCTAAACCCTAAACCCTATATAAACCCTTAACCGTTTCCTAAACCCTAAACCCTAAACCCTAAACCCCTAAGCCCCTAAACCCTAAACCCAGAGTGGACTCAACACCTATGACAGCTGTCGAGCAACCTTGGGCCTGTAGTTGATGCAACTAGTTTTTTACAGGATCCTTCAGGGAGGGGGGGTTCATGGTGGGTAGGTACCTGAGGAATCTTCCGGAAGCTTAGGGAGTCTTAGGCAGTAGTAGGGAACCTTGGGCCTAAACCCTAAACCCGAAACCCTGAACCCTAAACCCTAAGCCCTAAACCCTAAACCCTCCCAACAGAACCCCATAAGTCTAGGCCACCTTCCCTGTTTGGGTCCTCAGACTCAGCAACTCCAGTGGCTTCTTCTTCAGAAATCTACTGCATTGCTTCTGCTAAGCCCCAAAGCTCGTGTTTAGCTTCTGCGGAGGGTTTAGGGTTCAGGTTTAGGGTTTAGGGTTTAGGGCCACAAACCCGCAAACCCCTCAAAGAACGCCCCTGCAACTGATGACGATGATGGTGAGGATTCTGATTGTTCACGTGACTCGTGTTCAGTTTTCTCCCTTCCAGTCCATGTACCTCAAAATTGTATACTTCGACCCCAGAGACCCTACATAGGAAGTACTTTAAGGCCGAAGCATTCCCTATTTAGGTATATGGGTCTTACAGAATACTATACATATTCTTACTCTGAACCCTCACAACCCCCCCCCCCCCCCCCGCTAAACCCAAAACCCTAAACCCAAAACCCTAAACCCGAAGCCCTAAACCCAAAACCCTAAACCCTAAACCCCAAATGTCTGGGGAGCCCGGGCGGTGACATCGGTGTCCGTATTAGCCTTGACCTCCAACTTGTCCTCCTCGTGGTCGAAAGCCAGAACGCCGGGACTGGGCGATGGAGGGGGGCTTTTCAAGGGAGGTTTAGGGTTTAGGGGTTTAAGGGGTTAAGGTGTTTAGGTGTTTAGGGGTTTAGGGGTTTAGGGGTTCGGGGTTTAGGGGCTGCTTAGGGGCTTAGGGGGTTTAGGGGTTTAAGGGGTTTAGGGCTTAGGGGATTTCAAGGGAGTGAAGACCTTCTGAGTTTTATGCTTGGGGGGGGGACTAAGTGGTATAGATGGTTTTGGGAGCCATTTTGCCATGGCCGCTTGCATTTGGGAGGAGGGGCTTGGCTGAAGACCAGGGCTGGAGAGAAGGAAAGGGCAATCATAGGCAAGCAGGGATGGAACCCTAAACCCTAAACCCTAAAACCCTAAACCCTAAACGCGGCTCATGCCGGCAGTTTTTCGCTTCAGGGTTTGGCCCCAGAAGTGCAGAACGACGGAAGCGGAAGCACCAACAAAACCTCTCATCCCATGCGAAATGGAAGCACGAGAGGGTTTTTCGGTTTTGGGCTTGGGGTTTAGAGTTTAGGGTTCCATCACCAATTGGCTAGCCGAACTTTAAGGGTGCTAAACAGCGTCGGGTTAGTGTGAAGCAAGGGCTTCTGCATGTTAGGTACAAGGCTTCCACATCTGCTGCGCACTCCCCGTTGACTGCTACTGCTGGCCGGGAGGAGGGATCCAGAAACCGCCCCCCCCCCCCCCCCCCCCCCTCCCTTTTGCGGTTCCTATTGTAGCACGGGCCTTTCTTCATCACACCCCCAAAGTCAGGGAGAGCTGTGCGTACTATGTCGGGCCTTGAGGTCATGCTGCACACGTTCGCATTCCGGAACATTCCGGTCTTGAGGTGTTGGGCGGGAGGCATAATTGCTTACGACTGCTTTCGCACCCTTGGCTCTACCTCCCACAGCTGGCTGGCGGCGGGCCCCCGAAGCCAAGACACGCTAAACCCTACATGTCTGCGGATCTGGGAAGGTTCCGAAAGAAGATGTGGGGTCGAGGTGCCAAGGTGATAGGGACATGCAGTGATGTGCCAGCAATCAAAAAAACGGATACCCATTGCTCTGGACTAGTTTGTGCAGGGAATCCTATCTGAATATCAGCAACATATGGGGGTTTCCGAAACTAGGGAAGTCCTACCATTTGGGGCTCAATATTGGGGGTCCCTTTAAGCCCTAAACCCTAGACCCTAAACCCTATATATCCCGTTTCATATCCCGCTGGGACTGGCGGCATGTCTTTGTCGATGATCTTGATCGTGGTGACAGGCACATCTCCCAAGGCACCTCTTGCCATCTTCGAGGGGCAGGGTTTAGGGTTTCGGGTTTAGGGCTTCGGGTTTAGGGTTTAGGGTTTCAGGTTTTGGGTTTAGGATCTAGGGTTTAGGGTCTAGGGTTCAGGGTCGAGGGTGTAGGGTTTAGGGTTAAGGGTTTAGGGTTTCAGGTTTTGGGCTTAAGGTTTGGGTTTAGGGTTTAGGGTTTCGGGTTTAGGCTTTAGGCTTTAGGGTTTAGGGTTTAGGGTTTGGGGTTTAGGGTTTAGGGGTACTGTACCTCATTCCATGAAGAAGTACGTACAAGATAAGGACCCTGCGTCCACTGACCATCAGATGTGCTGCTTTCAGGTATTGGCAAGATAACTGAGTTGCTGAGTTCATAAGCCCCAAACAAGTGTACACCTAAGTGTACTCACTCAGCAGCTAAGATAAGGTCGCTTGGCCTTTTCGCGGGCTCCAGGAAGATGTTTGGGGTTGAGGCTTTTCGGCTTTATGGTTCAGGGCAGAACCTCAACCTGGCCAGCTTGGGGTTTAGGGTTGGGTTCAGGGTTTAGGGTTTAGGGTTTAGGGTTTAGGGTGTAGGGTTTTGGGTTTAGGGTTCAGGGTTCAGGTTCAGGGTTCAGGGTTCAGAGTTCAGGGTTCAGGGTTTGCAAAGAACGAGCAACGCCGTCGTCATCACGCCTGACTTCCATATGTTTCTCCCCGCGGAGAATGCGGTCAAAGTGCACGGTCGACAACACCAAAGTCTTTGGAAGTTTCCGAGGCCGTGCTGGGCGCAGCAAGTCAAAGTGTCCACATCCATTCTCGAGAAACAATAGAGTAGGTCTACGTGGCGGTCTGGAGCGTTGCCATAATGCGCAAAAGCGGGAGCGGCGTCACAGTCCAAATGGCAGCGCACGTTGAGATGCAACGTCACGGCTATTCTGTCCAAGCTTTTCTCTTCCACACTGCGGCCCTTCATGAGCTCGTCGAACTCGTTTTGCTCCAAAATTCCTTGACATTCAGGGTTCAGGGTTGAGGGTTTAGGGATAGAACCCTCAACCGAAAAACCCCGAAATGGGCCGACCGCCAGCCCTACGAGGGCCTTGGCAGAGGTTGTTGCCATCCACCTGCGGGTCAAAGAGCTCGCAGGTGAACCTGAAATTTGCGAGTTGCTTAGGGTTTTGGGCCTAGGGTTTAGAGGGTTTAGAGAGTTTAGAGGGTTTAGAGAGTTTAGAGAGTTTAGAGAGTCTGGAGAGTTTATATAGAGAGTTTAGAGAGTCCCTGGTTCTTCGAGGTCCCAGGTTCAAGGTTCAAGTTCAGGGTTTGGGGTTTAGGGTTCAGGGTTTAGGGTGTAGAGCGTTTTGGGTTTCAGGTCTTTTCGAGGCTTAGAGTTTAGGGTTCAGAGGGTTTAGGGTGGAGCGCCTCGAGTTTTGAGGGGGCGAAGTGAACAGTCTGCCACGAACACTTTCTTGAAAACGGGTGTAGGTAGGCTGCCCTTGGTCCTGTTAAGCTCTTGTTTCGGGACTCTGTTTCTAGGACAGGACCGAATCCTAGAGGGTCCATATGTAGTGCTACTATGGTATTTCCTGGCCCAAAAACCCTACTAAATAGGGTTTTGGGGCACCCATTCCAGTCGTGGCACTACAAACGGACCCTCATTTTGTGGCTTTCTTGGGCTCGGGAAGCTTTACCCGCAACAACACGGGAACTAGGTGCACCCTAAAGGGGGTATAATTTAACGGGGTCACCTGCTTTGGGTTTGGGGCTGTAGCTGCTCGTGTCCCAGGGATTCGCTGGGCTTCATGCTGCGTTGAGAACGGCAAGAAAGCCAAGGAACGATCCCCAGGGAGCCCATGTGCCTACAGGGTCCCTAAACCTGAACCCTAAACCCTAAACCCTAAACCCTAACCCCTAGATCCTAAACCCTAAACCCGGTGAGCTTCTGGGCATCCTCCACCTCTCAAACCTGCCAATTGTAAGGTTTGGGTTTGGGGTTTCGGGTTTAGGGTTTGGGGTTTAGGGTTTGGGGTTTAGGGTGTGGGGTTTAGGGTTCAGGGTTTGTAGCTTTCAACGACCGAAAGGCACCCCAACAAGATCTAAACACCCGAACATGCCCTCAAAAGCCTCCCCCCCTAAGCCCCGCTCAAATATTAAATTCTAAAACTACATACCCCAACAAAACCAAAACCAAAAACGCTAAACAGCCGTCGCCGATATCTGGCCCCCGTTGGAGCTCGAGGCTTCTCATAGTCTTACCCAGGGTCTTGACATACGATGGCGAGATCACGGCTGACTAGGGTTCGTCAGGCCTCGGAGAAACAGTACATACTGTTGGCAGCGCGTCAATGGCTGCTCACACTCATTCTGCAACAGGTGTCGTCTCCATCCTCTCCCAAGCCGCCCCGTTGTTTCCCGCTCCATCCTACATCATTCATCGAGACGCGCAGCCACTGCAGCAGCACTTGCAGGGTCGACGCGTCGCGCTTGTGTCAGAAGGTTCGGCCAAACTTCTGCGCATTCCTCAAATGAGGACATGTGCAGAAGAAGCTGGGCTTCAAACTGCCCGGCGCTAGGGCGAGGCTTGTCCAGTCCAAAATCACAGCGAAAGAGTTTTTGGCATGGGCGGCGGCTGTTGGAGGATTCCGGATGTAATTGACGGCAAAACTACGCTAAACCCGAGAGCCCCCCAGGCACCCCCCCCCCTCCCCAAACAAAACTTCACAGGCCCCCACTCTTCCTGATCCTCACAGCGATCGTCGTCCACAATCTCCACCTGCAGCAATGATCGCGTTGTCGAGGCTGCGTTGTTCAGAGCTTCGGGTTTTAGACTTTAAGGCAGGGGGCTGGCCTTAAATCGCTAGGTTTGTAGATTCAGTGCTTGTGCAGAGGGTCTGTTTCTAGGAGCTTGATATGTTCAAAGGCTTGCAATTCAGAGCGCACAGCTTCAGGCTTACAAGCGCTCATCTGCAGCTACTGCTTGGTTTCATCGCGCGCCAAGATGTTGGCATGTCGGGATGTTGACAAGAAATGCACGCATGTCATCTACTAATTGCTTAATAAGATCCCATATATATATATACATATATATTCCTCCTTATAATGATTTTCATTTTTTCTTTAAGCAAATAGTTGGTGGGGGCAGTTGTGGGGCCACCACGAACTCCTGTCGTGAGAGCTGATCGGTGCCACTTCCACCAATTCCACCGGTTCGCAGTACCGAGCCCAAGAAGGCTTTCTCAGCGCCTTTGCGCTGAGAAGAGATGTCCACTGCGGCATTGAGAAAGCCTTCTTGGGCGTAGGGTTTAAGGTTTAGGGCTTAGGGCTTAGGGCTTAGGGTTTAGGCTTTAGGGCTTAGGGTTTAGGGTTTAGGGCTTAGGGTTTGGGGCATTTGGCGCCCTTTTTTGGGCTTGGCGCTGGAGGCCATGGCTGAATGCGCTTGGACAGCCTCCACGTGCAGCACAGACTCATAAACTAACCCTAAACCCTAAACCCTATCTACCTCCATAAGTTCCATATGACTGGCCACCATGGAGCCCCAAGTGGCAGAAACATGGAACCAAAGGGTGGGTTCAGGTTCTTAAGTGCATAGGAGTTTGGGGGCTTGGGGCTCAGGCGTTAGGAATTTGGTGCTTGAAGAGTTTTGTTTTGTTTCTTGGGCCCTCGACCCTCAACCTAGGTTTAAACACCTGAACTATTGAACTAGACCCTCTAAACCCTGAACCCTAAAACCTAAAACCCTATTCGAATTGTTCAGGGCTAGAGGTGTAGGGTTTAGGGGTGAGGGTTTCATTGGGGGACGCCGGAGATCCTCCAAACCTTTCTTCGGTTCGGAGGGGCAAAGCCAAGGCCAAGGCCTTTCACCCGAAACCCCAAAATCCAAAAAAACAACAGCTTTCCAAATGATAGATCCCTCGGCCCCTCATCCTGAAAACCTACCGCGCAACCTTGAAAACTAAGGCCCCCTGAGAGAAACCCTCGCAGCTCAAACCCTCAACCCTAAACCCTTAAACCCTAAACCCTAAACCCTTAAACCCGAAGGCGCGGTGCCTGGAAGGACTTCTCCACTTCGTCTGCCTTGAAGCCTTTGCTGGTTGGGACGTCATAAAGCATGCCATGGTTCGGAGTTAAGGAGTGACGATGCTTGAAGCTCTTTACAGGTTCAATAGGGGGTTTAGGGTTTAGGGTTTAGGGTTTAGGGTTTAGGGTTTAGGGTTTAGGGTTTAGGGTTTAGGGGTTTGGTTAGGGGTATTCTGTTGAACTTGGTCCAGATACCTTTTGACAGGGTTCGTTCTCTGCAGGTTTGCATTCAACTGTTTTCGTTTTTGTGTGTTGCCATGCGATTCGCTTACTTTAGCATCATCTTCATTGTTGGAAATTGTTTCGGAAACAACTCATTCTGAGGCTGTCGACGATTGATTCGAAATACCCACTCGTCTCCAACACTGAATTGAGTTGCTTTCATACATCATGGTAAGATGCACAACCACTTTCTTCCTGTGCGTTGTTTAAACTATCTGCATCTTGTAAAGAACACCGACGTTGCAACCAACAGTACCACACATGCTCTTAATAGTTGAAGCATTTTCCTGCTGATGCACTACACCCCCCCCCCCCCCGCCGCCGAAGCCCCAAATCCTAAGCCCTAAGTCCTAACCCTAAACCCTGCACCCTCAACCCTAAACCCTAGACCCTAAACCCGCAACCCTCAACCCTAAACCCTAAACCCTAAACCCTAAACCCCAGATCCAGCCCAAGGGCTCAGTCGACCCTCAACAGGCTGGAAATCCTCATAGGAGGTCGCAGTGCCATCCTTGGTCCTGGCCAGAAAGAACGTTAGGGTTTAGGGTTTAGGGTTTAGGGCTTAGGGTTTAGGGTTTAGGGTTTAAAGTACTGCCATGAGTTTAGACCCTCCAGCAGCCTCAAAGCAAAGAAGTTTGTTGAATGGGGTGGGCTTGCACGGGACCCAAACCAAAAGCAAGGACATGATACTGCTGGGCATCCTACAAAAACTTCGGGCCTAGAGGCTTCCAAGCTTCTGAGGTTTTGGGGCTTGAGGGTGAAAGATATAAGGCTCTTGGGGCACTTAATAACCCTAAACCCTAAACCCTCAACACCACCTCAAAAGCCCAAAAAGACCCAACCACCCCCCCCCCCCCCCAAGAATAGGAAAAGACTCAGGGCACCCCAAACCGCAAACCCTATAAACCCTAAACCCTAAACCTTCTACCCTCTAAACCATGAACGAAGGGGCTCCTATAAGCGATGCTGGCGGGAAAGTGGAGGAGCCCGGTCCGAGTAACCACGACCTCCACCTCAAGGGGACTTCGGGTTATGGGGTCCTGAAGGGAGGGGGCTAGGGTTTCGGGTTCAGGGTTGTCTGGGGTTTAGGGGTTTAGTGAGGGGTTTGGGGGTGGCAGGGCAGGGGGGGGGGGGAGGGGTGTCGGGGGGGGGGGGGGGGGGGGGGGGTCACATACTGGGACTGCCGGGTTTATAGAGCTTTTTGAGGGGGGGGTCGGGTTCAGGGAGGTTACTAAACCCCCAAAAACCTGGACCCAAAAGCCCTGAAACCCTAAAACCCCAAAACAACCCAACGCTCAAAACAGAACCGCGAAACCATAAACCCTGACACCCTGAAACCCTAAACCCTACACCCTAAAAGAAATTCAAAAGCCTAAATCCTAAAACCCTAAACCCCCAAACCCCCAGAGCCCTACCACCCAAAAACCTAAAACCCTACACCCCTAGACCTGTACCCTAAAACCCCAAAACCCCCTCAAGCCTCAAACCTTAAACCCCCAAAACCGCCAAAACCCTAAAATCCTAAAACCCTAAAACCCTAAAACCCTAAAACCCTAAAGCCCTAAAGCCCTTATAAAACCCTAAAACCCTAAAGACCTAAAACCCTGAAACCCTGAAACCCTACAACCCTAAAACCCTAAAGCCCAAAACCATAAACTCCCAAACCCCCAAAACCCTAACACCCAACAGCCCTAAAGCTCTCCCCTACTTTACACTAGACCCTGGAAAAAAAAACATATACTTTCTAGGTCCAAGTACCTATAATCATAACCCAGAAACCAAAAATATTAAAGTACAGTACTCCAAAACCCTAAACCCTAAACCCTAAACCCTAAACCCTAAACCCTAAACCCTAAACCCTAAACCCTAAACCTAAAACCCTCTCAGGCGGGTGCATGGCCGCAGTTCTCCATGCATGCCACCGACATCATCACAAAGCTGAAGACGCAGCGCTCTCGATCTTTGGCTGGCCTTGGCTTTAGGCTTTAGGCTTTAGGCTTTAGGCTTTAGGCTTTAGGCTTTAGGCTTTAGGCTTTAGGCTTTAGGCTTTAGGCTTTAGGCTTTAGGCTTTAGGGTTTAGG